CTAGCAGATTAAAAAGATACCTTAACTGTACACTTAGGAAGTCACAAAATAGCCAGTTTATCAACAACGAAAAACAATTTTACAGGAGCCTGACTTCAGACACGCAACATGACACACATAGAAATAGGCAAGATACACCATTACCACCTGACATTGAATTACATAGCTTCTGGTCTGGTATATGGTCTGTGCCGGTTCTCCACAACACAGAGGCGGAAGGGCTGAACACAGATTTCAAAGTAACTGATACTATCCCACCGATGGCATTTGAACAAATACCTTTGGAAGTATTTGTGCATATATTAAAAAAATCCCATAGCTGGAAAGCACCTGGAAGCGACCGCATACATAATTACTGGTATAAGAAACTTACAGCAATTCACCCTCTACTTCATAACCATATCAATAACTTTATACAAAAACCAGACATAATGCCCCGATACATTACACAAGGCCTCACCTACATGATTCCGAAAGACGCAGATCATCAAAATCCTGCCAAATACAGACCTATCACATGTCTCCAAACCATTTATAAACTACTTACAGCATGTATAGCTGAACTCTTACATCAACATATAGCCAAAAACAACATTCTTGCTGAAGAACAAAAAGGATGTCGAAAAAGTAGTCAGGGGTGCAAAGAGCAACTCATAATAGACTCCGTAGCAATGAAACAAGCTATGTCTAATAGGAAAAACATCAGCACAATGTATATAGACTACCGAAAAGCATTTGACTCCGTATCGCACAGCTGGCTCCTATATATATTACAACACTATAAAATTCACCCACAAATTATACATTTTCTTAAAAACTCAATGCAGCACTGGAAAACTACTTTAAAAACCATAGGAACTTCTTGTATAGAAACACCAGAAATTCCAATACGTCGAGGAATATTCCAAGGTGATGCGCTCAGCCCTTTATGGTTCTGTCTCGCATTAAACCCTCTCTCGCAAATGCTGAACAAAACCAATCATGGTTACTCTATCATCACTCCACACAAACACACCACTCTTACACACCTGATGTACATGGATGACAAATTATACAGTAACACTACACAGTCACTGCACCGCCTTGCAGACATCACCCAATTTTTCTCAAACGACATTCATATGGAGTTTGGGATCGACAAGTGCAAAACGTTCTCGGTTAAAAACGGAAAAATTAACCGTAATATCTATAGCCTAATATCAGGAGACACGATTGAACCCCTAGAACCCTTGGCCGCATATAAATACTTAGGTTTCCAACAAGCGCGACAGATTCATCAAAGGGAAACAAAAGAAGGTCTCAAAAAGAAATTTAAACATCGGCTCAATAGTATATTCCGGTCTCAGCTCAACTCCCGCAACATGTCAAAAGCTATCAACAGTTACGCAATCCCCATACTGACATATTCGTTTGGTGTAATAAACTGGGCTCAAGGTGACCTTATCAATCTACAACGTATTATAAATACCACTCTAACGGCTCACCGCAAGCACCACCCTAGATCCTGCGTACAAAGGATGACTCTTTCAAGATCCGATGGAGGACGAGGTATAATAGATGTCCTCAACTTGCATAACAAACAAATCAGATGCCTTCGACAATATTTCTATCAACGCTCAGAACACTCACTTCTCCACGAAATAGTAACCTTAGCCGACAAACGCTTCACAACACTTAACCTTGCAGACCGAAATACACAACGCAACAAACGGATAACTGACGTAAAAGAAAAGATCGCCTCATGGCAACAGAAGTCCCTACACGGAAAGCACTATCACGACCTGCAGCAGCCACATGTCGACAAAAAAGCGTCGAACGCATGGCTGAGGCGCGGTGAACTCTTCCCAGAGACGGAGGCCTCCATGTTAGCGATCCAGGACCAGGTCATCGATACTCGAAACTTCCAGAGACACATAATACGCGCACCTAACCTTCCCACCGATACTTGCAGACATTGCCACTCTAGTCCCGAAAACATACAACACATTACATCCGCCTGTAGAGCTCTTGCACAAACCGACTATAAACACCGGCATGACCAGGTAGCTTCCATAATACACCAACATCTTGCGCTTAAATTCAAATTTATACAAAAAATGACACCATATTACAAATATAAACCGGACATTATATTAGAAAATAATAATCATAGAATTTACTGGGACAGGACCATTATCACGGATAAAACTATCCACTTCAATAGGCCAGATATCACAATGTATGACAAAAATAACAAAACTACTTACCTTATTGACATTGCCATACCAAACACCCATAACATACAATCCACCATTGCTGAAAAACTTACAAAATATCAAGATTTAGCAATAGAACTGAAGCGTCAATGGAAAGCAGAAGCCATCCATATAGTCCCAATAGTTATCTCATCTACCGGAGTCATACCTAAAAGCCTACAACGCAGTTTAGATACTTTGCAAGTACCCCAACACACTCTGTACACACTGCAGAAAGCTGTCATTCTCAACACCTGCCGACTCACACGCAAATTCCTCACCACTTCATCCGTCACCTCCGCTTACACCATCACCTAGCACCTGCTCACGCTTGGCTTCGGCCCGTGTGATTAGGTTTTAAGCTACCCCTGTAATAGGGAGAATATAAATGAATAATAATAATAATAATAATTTTTCATTTTTTTCATCATTTTCATTTATCATTTTCATTTACAATTATATATTTATACAGCCCAACCAGATGAGAAAACTATACAAATACCCCATAATAATAATAATAATGTCCTCCAGACCAAATTTCCATCACGGCGGCCAGAATCAATGGAGACTAGCCATCGGCGCAGAACAGGATTATAGTAACCAAGTGTATGCGCAAGCACAGGCGCATTCTCTATTCCCTCACTCTCATAGTCCGATGGGACGATATACTCTGGGTAGCAATTGAGAATTTCTTGACGAAAAAACTCAATAACTGATTTTTTGGCCCGACCTGGGATTCGAACCCCGGACTTCAGATCAGCAGTCTCATTTACAACCACTAGGCCAACGAAGTAGTCAAAAAATGATATCAATAATAACAAAATAATACACTAATATATACAACATAAATAAATATAATAGAGAAGGCTAAGTAGCCAAAAATACATAAATAAATACAGAAAGGAAGCAAAAATCTAAATGTCGTTAATCAATATTATAAACAATTTTGTCTGTCACTCATATTAATATTTTTAACGAATACAAATATTAATAAGAAGTGAGCTCGGTGTCTCTATGGCTTTATCAAATTTGAGTCTATTTGTGGTGTCTATGTTCAGCGATCGGCATTTAGTAGGCTGTAATTTTGATGATGATATATTAAATGTAACAGAGAACCTGTCTCCATGCACCATCAAGCAGAACAAAACATTAGATTAACTGTCTTTTCTTGATAGAAATAGCTAAAAACATTGTACATACCGCTGAAAGGACTGTAGTACCACCCAAATTTCAACAGAATCAAACGATGTAGTCCTTATGGCTGAATCGCTGGTGAACCTAAGCACTACTCAATGACCTCAATAGTTTCTCCCAACGGATAGGTCTTAAGATGAACATGGACAAAACAAAGATCTTGTGTAATATCCATGTCACACCTATGCCGGTAGTTGTCGGGAGCAGTAAGCTCGAAGTTGTTGACGAGTATGTTTACCTGGGACAAATAGTCCGACTAGGTAAGTCCAACTTCGACCGAGAGGTCAATCGATGAATTCAACTCCGCGAGTCAACGTTCGGTAAATTAAGACATATCTTCTTGTCAGGTATACCTCAAAACCTGCAAACGAGATCGTACAACCAGTGTGTTTCCAGTGATAACTTATGGATCTGAGACGTGGTCCTTCGCTGCTGGCCGTATGCGGACGCTCAAGGTCGCTCAGCGAGCTATGGAGAGGGCTATGCTCGGGGTTTCTTTGCGTGACAAACTTAGAAACGAGGATATCCGCAGTAGAACCAGAGTGACCGACATAGCCCCACAGATTAGTATGCTGAAGTGAAATGGGCCTAGTGATATAAAAGTCTTTCGGTCTGAAGGGTATAATAGATAGCCTGTAAACTGCAGGTTGTGTGGCATTCCATCTTAATCCTCAAAGGTGGCAACGTATCTGTAGCCATCTTTGTTTGAGGTTGGCTACAGAAGCCTATGAACTGCAGTTGCCACGTACCATCTGGTAGATTGTAAGTCTCTTCAGTTTTATAAAGAAGTAACTACTTCATTTTTTATTTACTGTTTCGTCTGTACATTTAAAACCGTTTAGTCATTACTTTATTTCTAATAAGTACATAAGAAGTAAGAACACATAACATAATTTCTCTATCTTGATATGTATTAGTTGGCTATACTTTGCCGAATTTAAAAAAAGCAATGTAGTGTTATGTTGTTTCTATAGCGTAATGTGTATACTAATTACAATTGGCCTTACTTACAATCGTTGATTATCACTTGTTTAACTTCAGTATTATTTATGTACCTACCTGTCTTTCTCTATTGACAATTAGTGAAAACAGAAGAAGGAATATTGAGCATTACTTAAAGAGACGTCGATGAATAAGGTCGTATTTGATTAAACTGAATTTCGTTTACTGTTATGTGTTTTTAATTAGATGTACATAGGTTTTTGTTGTAAATGTCATTTGAAAGCATTGTAAGAGAATTCATTACGCCATTTCCTCCCGTGGGTGTCGTAAGCCTCATGGATCTAGATAGCTAACTGCAGCTTTTTTACGGAAATGTTATTCCCTGCTCGGCGACGGGGAGTAACAAGATGCAAGATATCTGGTACTGTCTTCGATACTTCGGCTGCCAAGCATGGCAGATAAGGCAAGTCCTCCTTATAATGAGAGATACCAATATCCAGCAGTGCAATTTTATAGACTAATGGATAAAAATAACGTGTTTCTACAGAATAAATAACGTTCATGTGGTTCATATCAGTCGTTGCGTAATCTGTTCTAAAATTGGGATTGTTTAATATAATAAAAAACATAAATTCGATTCTATTTATTTATCCGTCTTATAAGTTTATAAATATATTCATTCGCTAGAATTTCACACAAGGTAACTAATGTAAATACCACTTACTATACTCCTGTGATCAGCAATCGTTGTTAATTCTTATTATGATTATAATATCGAAACACTTATAAAATACATTTTGAAAACAAATTAATAAAATACGTAATTTTTTTAGTTAATGACCTTTTATTATGTGATTTTGCCCTATTATTAACGTATACCCATCGTTGCTTATTGCTAAAATAAAATAATACAAGGAATCATTCATTACAGCCTGTCAAAAGCCAATTGCTGAACAATGGCCTGTTCCATGTAATAGTCACATAATGTCCTCCAGACCGTAATTCGTTCAAGGGACGAAACAGGCCGCTCAATGTGGACAAAGTATCTGCACAGAACAGGATTACAGTTCACATGTATTTTCGTAATCGCAGGTGCTCTCTCTATTCCATCATTCTCGTAATTTGCTGAGATGGCAATCCTACACAACCAGAGAGAGATCAGGCGCAGGATCAACGGCTTTACGTGCTTTCTTTAGCGTGGGAATAAGCTACTACGACCAAATAGAAGTGGTCAGAGGTATTTTTAAAGAGATTTAGTCGAACGAAAAGTTATTGCGAGCTTAAGGCAAGTACTTTGAAAAGATCGATACGGTGATAAAGCATACTAATATTATTTTCGAGTATCTAGTTAGTTTTGACATGATCCTTACATTTAATACCTACAAATTAATACTTACCATTACAAAATTGTATTGTATTGTACAAAAGATGCAATATTGAACTATGATCCTATAATCTGATTGCCACATTGGGTTTTTGGATTCGATTTCTAGAAAATCTCAGTATCAGCCTCTAGTCAGGAAGTTGGCAGTGTTTCAACGCCGTATCTCTGACTTTTCTTCTCTACTCCCTCACTGTCGTAGTGAGGGAGTAAAGAAAAGAAAGTGCACTTGTGCTTGCTCACGCACTTATACATAATAATCCTGTCCTGAACAGATGGCTTGTTTCCATTAAGACTTGCCGCACAGACCGAAATTCGGCCTGGAGGACATTCAATCATAGCTCGAAAATTACTTCGATCTAAACTCTACTGCAGCAAATGAATTCCCACCGTATTCTCACAAAAAAAAGTTTTTTTTTTCATAACAAACGTATCTGTATAATAAAGGTTCCATTTTAAAATTTATCAGTAACTATCCAGCCTTCACGATAATGATCAAGCAGTTTCGAACAAACGAGTGAAGAGTATTTCAAATTAATTTTAGCATGTCTCTTGTCATCTCTTAAACACGCTGTGAACACGGGATAACATTTACAAGAGACAAAATATATTTTACGAAAGTAACTGTTATAATATTTTTCTTTACTTAAATATATGTTGGTTCAAGTGAATATCACGTCTCTAGACTCTAAGAAAAAGAACAGCAACTGCCCCACTTTAAAAATAATAATTAGAATAACAGAATAAACAACATTATGTTTATTCTATCGTTTTATGTTTATAATATATTCATTATCATATCATTTATCATATTTTTTATAAGTATATAGCAGGCATCCTAACCAAATAAGAATTCTATATAAACACCCCAATCATAATAATTATATAAATAATATTAGCAGCTAATAATTTGAATACGAAAATAAAATTATAGATATGTTATAAGAGTAGGCGTGTCTGCCTGTAAACGCTACGTTTTTCTAACTATGCCAAATTCTGAACTTTGGCGTCCCAAAGGCAGTAACTTCCGGCCTAGCCTTCTAAAAGTATTGCGAAACTGTCTACTCATACTACAGTACAATACGAAGTTGACAGCGGATCCCACTAGCGCCATTAAGTCCATCACCTCGCCTGTAAAAAAGCAACATAACATTACACATATTTATTTTGAGAAACATTTTGACACATTTTTGTTAGACAACAGTTTTTTTACGTGGTAGAGCCATGCTGCAGCTATATTAGTAGTATAGTTGTAGCACGAATGGGTCGGCTCGACTGAGGAAGGACCACGCTCTCACTGCTCAGCTGACTCAGCTGCTATTTTGCGCTGTTATTCTAACAGCGCTACTATTTTGCGCTGTTATTCTAACAGCGCAAAATAGCAGCTTAACGCTGCTATGTTTCGTATGGTGAGTGTAGAGAACCGGATACCCTTTTTACTGGAAATGAGGCATTCCATCTTAGTCCTCACGGGTGACAACGCATCTGCATTTTGATTTGTAATAGAGGATAGATGTAGATGTCCATGGGCCGCAGCAACCACTTACCATCAGCTGGACTGTGTGCTAAGTTGTCAATAAGACAACTTACTCTTCCTGCACAAAACCTGCGTTAGACCTATTATTTCATACGCAAGTGTAGCCTTCGCCCACACGTATAGTACTTATCTATACAAACTACAGAAAGTCCAAAACGTTTTCACCCGGAAAGCCACCGGAGCAAGGTGGTATTAACGGAATTCACGCACAATGATTGCCAACTTCCCACTTTCTCCGAATACTTCAAGGAGATGTCTCAGCACTACTTTGATAGCACCGAAACCCATTCAAACCCGCTAGTGGCAAACGTAGCCAACTACGTCGCGATACCAAGCGTCGCGCGGATTCTTCGTAGACCGCGTAACGTACTTATGAAACAACCACGCTCGCTCGACCCCGTAGACTCAAACGTCGCAGGCACATCCAACACTGTCACTACACCCACACCAAATGGGGCAAGCACAAGTAGGATAACGCGTCGTACCGATGAAACGCGGTGAAAACCGCCCAGGAGCGACCGACACGAGCTAAGCAGTCAGAGGCGGGGGTACGTACACCCCCACTCACACAGCGGCTAGATAGCTCAAAAAACCTCAAGAGAGGAGACATGATCATTGGTATCAATATCAAAGCATAAACCATCATCATCCTCATCTTCATCTTTATTGCCTTTTCCTTTTTTATATAGCTCTCGACCTTGTGTCAAATGAAGTACCGACATCTCGAAAATAGACGTTGAGTAATTTACGTCTGGCGCAAACAATATGGTTATACCGCCATCTGTCGGAAGCCATAGTCGCCTTCGATACTACCCTCAAGACAAAATAGGGTGATCGATTTTGTTATCGGCACGGATTTTTACTTAAAGAAAGTCAAGTAGTTATTCTCTAGAGTAGTTTATGTACTATATAATTTGAATCTAAATTAAAAATTTAATTTATTTTAGTTAAATGCAATAAGTCGACCTTTAACTATCCGACTACGTCAAAGCCAACAGGAGGGTTAGGATTTTGACACATGAGGTATCGCTTGCGCTGGTAACAAATTATATTACGAAGTCACATAAAATCCATCATGGCCACCACGATGGATTTCATTACAGACACAATATGCTTTAAAAATATTGTGTTTGCTATCCAATGAAAGGTCATAACGAGTACTTATCGAAAATTTATATACATACACGAACCAAAAAATTTTAATTCAATAAAAGCGGCTAATCTCCCTCCCAAAAATATAAAATCATATTATCAAATTGAACTTACTACAAATTTATAGTAAAAAATAAATAAAGAAAAAATAATGAGGAAGTTATATAAAGAATGTAGCGACTAGTGACTACGGCTATAAGAGAATAAATATTTATTTTAATTATGTCAATTTAGATGGTCTAATATTATTCCGTGATTGTTTTTCATTCGTGATAAAAAAAACGACAACCTTATTTTGTTAATACCTTTTTAGTGGAATTTTTATCGAATTTGTTTATTTTTTTCACTTTCTTTTTATATCGACTTACCAAAGGCATAGTAGCATTCCTGAAATAGGTGAGGCGCTATAGCAGTCAGAAGCCCAAACAATGCTTGTGGCAACTCTGTAGCTAGAAATAAGCCCAGCAGTGCAACCAACATTCGTGTGGTTCGATCTGTTCTTCCACCGCCGCCCCCACCACCTCTTTTTCCTCCAGAATCTTCATTGAGCCGCATTTTCTCGCCCTGTTATAATTTTTATTAAAATATAAATTATGTAATTCAAAATATGTTTAATTTTGAGGGACCATGGCTCCACCACGTAAAAAATTGAATTTTTACGTGGTAGAGCCATGCTGCAGCTATATTATGGTTGTAGCACGAATGGGTCGGCTCGACCGGGGAAGGACCACGCTCTCACAGAAAACCAGCGTAAAATAACAGCTTAACGCTGCTGTGTTTCGTATGGTGAGTGTAGAGAACCGGAGACCCTTTTTACTGGCAAAGAGGCATTCCATCTTAGTCCTCACGGGTGACAACGCATCTGCATCTTGAGTCTTTATTGAGATAGATATAGATGTCTATGGGTCACAGTAACCACTTACCATCAGGTGGACTGTGTGCTCATTTGTCACCCGATCCTATAAAAAAAATTCCTAAAATCATTATTATGCAAAAATATACAATTTTAACACCCACGTTGTCCATTTAGTACCACATATATAAAGATTATTTTAATTGATTTTCTAATTATGTTTTACAGCATCCCAATAGCATTAACAATGAGGGAAAGACGCAAACAAGTGTCATAATTAACATTATAATCATGGTGACATAGGTATATATCTTTATATATAAAAATTACGTGTCACGTCGTTTGTCCGCGATGAACTCCTAAACCACTAAACTGATTTCAATCAAACCAACTTAAGAGATAGGATAGTTTTTATTTCGATAACTGACCCCCGATATATTTTTATTGCAAATTTAAGGATTTATTTTTATAGGAAGGGTCGTTGAAAAGGGCAGGAGAGCGTCTGCCTAGCCAGCTAGTATATATAATATATATTTAGCACTCATTATCTCAGTTATTATAACGACCCAAAATCATACATATATCCGGTCATCTAAATACTGTAATGAAATGCTTGGGTCCAATAGTTGATTTTATAAAACGAAGATATATTTATTACATTTGACGACATAAAAAAAATTATAAGCGTAAAAAATTAAGATAGTTACTGCTGCTACCTTATTACAGCTACTAGTTCAATATAAAAATTGAAATAATACTGAACATAATATCGATAAACAGATAAGCCATGTTTCTTTTGGTAATTTATATAGATAGCTACTTTTTTCGTGATCATAATCTGCTCGTGTCTACTTTTATATATGTACATATACCACGCTGCAACTTTATCATGGTTGTAGCATAAACGGGTTGGCTCGAGCGGAGAAGGACCACGCTCTCACAGAATACTAGCGTATAATAGCAGTCTAAGGCGATACCTCGACCAAAACCTTGCGATAGTGCGTTTTTCTTCGTTATTCAGAGACTATTATCTCATCAGTTATGAGAAATAAAGTACATCTAAAAGCACATTATTCGTGTTTGATATCCTATCATCACATTTCACGTTCTAATTTGTTGTTATATGTTATAAATACGTTTAAAATCTACTTTAAATAATTTAAAATAAAAAATTTTGTACAGTCGACTTCAATATAAGTTATTAAGAATAACTCAATAACTATTGGTCTGACCTTGATCTAATTTATATGGAACCACACGCAAAGTATCAGCTTTCAAATAAAAAAAGAATGATCGAAATCGATCGAAATCGGTAATCGGTTCACCCAGTATAAAGTTATGAGGTAACACAAATTAAAAAAAAACATAAAGTCGAATTGAGTACCTTCTCCTTTTTGGAAGTCGGCAGAAAAATGACTAAAATTATCGATTACATGCATCTGTTGCTAAAGGCAACGCTCTAATCATTTAAGTATTACACTACAATTAGTGTAATACTTAAATGATTAGATTTATCAATAAATAATTTAAAAATCTATATTATTTTTTATTTAATTTTTAAAGTTAACTTTTATTTTTTAATTAAAATTAATTCCAAAAATTAGCGTTAAAAAAATTAGCGTACCCAGAGTGCGGGCGCCAGTGCACTGCATACTCAAGGTTGTTTGGTCAGGGAAACGCCTTAATGCTGTTGTATTTCGTATGGGGATTGTAGAGACCAAAGATATTCACTGGATACGAGTCAAACCATCTTAGTCCTCAGAGGTGACAACGCATAATATGTAGATGTCTCTAGGCCAAAGCATCCACTTACAGTCGGGTGGACGTGTACTTGTTTGTCACCCTTGGTCTATAAAAAATACACCACCCAAAGAAGAAGCTATCGTTATCAATATCTTATTGCAAATTTCTCGTGTTTTTTTTTTAATATTTTTTATGAATGCGAATACATTTAATTAGACGCGTTGAATAGCTGCATAAGAATATACGTTATTTTCAATATGGGCTAATTTATAGCTGAACCACCATGCTTAGGACAAATAGCGTGGATCATCGGTTCCCTGTGCTTTTAGCAATACAAATTATCTTTGTTGTAAAAAAATATCATTCCTGTACAATCATCATCATCATTACAGCCTATCACAAGTCCATTGCTGATAGGCGTTCCCCAAGGAGTATGCTATAGCAATTTTTTAATAAAAACTTTATATCATTGTTCATCAGAAAGGGGCTATTCATTAATTACGTAAAAATGATTTTGGAGATTTCGGACCCCCCCTTCCCCATGTAAGGGTACATAAGATTTCTTGGACCCCTCCTCTTCTCCCTCTTCTTACGTAAGATTCTATCTCGTTTTTCATAATAATAAAATGTTGTTAGAATAAGATCAGTTACACTAAAACTCTCAGTTTGACGTAAATCAAAGATTACGCGGATAAAATAAAGATCACTTATTAATACGCGGGAAGAATGTACCTTTATTTATATTATATATTATCTAAAACATTTAAAATGGATAAAAATGACCACATTTAAGATTTTAAAATTTTAATAGACACCAACAATTTGTAAAATAAGATGTAAATCGAAGTGTACATTATAGAATGAAGAAAACTATTCGGCATCCGAAACGGAACTAGATTTCTAATGTTAAATTTCGACTTACAAAATATTTCGTGAGATTCTTCATGTCCTTATCTGAATATATTATGAGATCAGAAAATATCTGAATATACTTATAAGAATCTTCATGTCGAAATGATTTCTTATATTTACGCGAACACTACACATTGAATAAAACTACACGACGTCTAACAACGGGACGTCAATCACCTCAGTCCCCCGTGACCATTGGAATTAATAAAAATAAGTCAATTAAACGCGATAAAATCCGTAAAAGTAGTTTTATTCAATCTTCATGTCCCGGACAAGAAATTTTAACCCCCCTACCCCTTGGGACCCTTACGTAATTAAATAATGGCCCCAAATGTGTAAGAGAGAAAAACAAATTCAATAACATTATTTAATATTTGGAAACATACCTAAAATATATTCGACACTTATTCTCATAATCACGTTTTCTGTCTATCTTTCACACAATATTGACAAATATATCTAATTACCTCATTTGTTGAGATCGCTGACTTTTTTAGAAGCTTTTGCCTTCTTCGATCACTGGATTTCATTTTCAAAATAAGACACACACTTAAAATTGATAACACGACACAGGGGATAAGTTTTAGGAAAACACTGTAGATCCAAAATATTGCTGTCAATAAATTTTCGTTACTGGTCATGGATATTGCGTATTTTGGATCATAACTCTGTGATATATTTGTAATCTCATTGACGTTGACTGTTTTATTTCTATCATCGCCACTATCAGAGATTTCTTGTATATTCATAGCAAAATAAATAGGAAGACACATTATTGGACACACGACATACGCCACAGCTATAGCAATGCTCGTATTTTGTTTATTACAGAGAATTTTATTCTTCTGTGGAAACTTGATAGCGATATACCGCCACACGGCAAGTGTAATTGTTAGCCAGATTGAAATTGTATGAAAAGTTTGACTGAAAATCGAGTGAAAATAGACAAATACTGCCCAGCCGTATGAATTTCGATGCAATTCTGGTCCAATATTCGTATAGATATGTAGCGCTAAAGGAATGTAATCGAGCATTACTAAGAGATCAGCCACAGCTAGAGCAGTAAGGATGGAGTTGGTTGATGAAACCATCTCTTTGCGGCTTAGTACTGCAATGTTGACGGAGTTCGCAGCGGAGCCAAGTAGACAAATAATAAGTGCAATATAACCATGAACTTTAACATAAATCCGTCTGAACTCTTGACCACCAGGAACGCAGTAGGCCACCATGATGCTTGTGATTCCCTCTTCTTGTGTTACAAAGGTATGTTTTCTGACCATAAATAGCGAATATAAACTCCGCCCTCTTCTTGTAAGCTCTTGTACATTTTCTGAAAACAAAGATGATTTATTTTAAATAAAATATAAAATGCGTATTAAAAAATAAGAAGAACAGTATATTATAGTCGCTGGAACAATAGTTGCTAGTGTGCTACTAACAACTATTGCCGATACTAAGTTTATTATAATTAACCATTAACAAACTATCATATCTATATAAAATTAAAATAAAACAGACACATCAACAAACGTTTGTTTCGCTAGCAAAAGCTGATATATTATTAAAATTTAACTTTATCAAGAAAATGTGTTTAAGTTCATGTTTTTCAAATTCGTTTCTTTTACAAAAATACACTTTAAATCTAACATATTTTAGGAAAGCATTGAACTTAAAGGTCGTTACAAAATAAATTATTATACAAATTCACAAGTTTGCGCGTTTACCGTTAAAAATAACACCTTTGTCGTATCTCCTCAATTTCAGAACACTTCCCTTGTTGCCGTAGCCAATAGAAAGAAAGAAAGAAAGAAAGAAAGGTTTATTCTCCAAAATGACGCCATCACAGATAACATAAAAAAGAAACACATAATTTACAAATAATATTGGCTATACAATACAAATTACAATATACTACATATTACAAACTATACAATACCAATACTCATATGTGTCAAGGCGTCATCTGGGAACAGTAGCACACTCAGCATAATGCCATGAATTTTTTTTCTCTCCATGGCGCTGATTTTCAGTGTGTCCAACCAGTGACTTACCGAAATCAGTGCTATACGTATACTCATGACAGAATTATGCACAACAAGGGGGAAAGAAACAGTAACTATCTTAAGTGAGAGGGAGAGAGTAGAGTTCAAGGTCGAATGCCACTTCGACACAGCACGTCCCGTTTGTTGCTTTCAGACGCTCTTAGAAGGGCTATACGAACACTACAAAAGGGGAGATTATTAAAATACTATAAAGGGCTATATACTACAAAAGGGAGATTATTAAATTATTATTAAAAATATATATAAATATATATAGCGGTATCTTCGGCGTCGACATATCGAATAACCTGCAGTAGCATGGTCACTTGGAAGAGAAAGCTAAATTGGCTTTTAAAAAATTTTCTATCGCATTAAACACGGGAAGTGCTCTGGAAATTGTTCGGATTAATTCCAGCCACCAAACATCACCAACACACATCGTGACAAAACTTACATTACCATCCACATCATTTGGATGCTTGGCGGTCCACAACCGTGCGATTTATTAGTTTTCTTAGGAATCGTTTACCAACGGCAATTTTTATGGACCGATACGACTTAGGGACCTTCAAGAAACGAGTTAAATCCTTTTTAAAAGGCCGGCAACGCATCTGCAATTCTCCTGGTGTTGTAGAATTATATTAATTTAAAAAAAGGCTATCTTTTTGACTGGTTGTACTGGTTGTACTGGCTGACATAGATGTGTCATGTTAAAACTAACTACAATATGCCCCGACACAGGCCTAGCCGATTACTTTATTGATACCGGTACAGTATTGTTTACTGTTTCACCTCCTTAAATATTGTAAATGATTAAATCGGCATCCGGTATAATATTTTTTATCGATAACAATAATCGATAAACGATGTTAATCACTAACTCTTTGGTAAATAAATCATGACGTTACTGCATAACAGAGGGCGTTTATTACAATAGTGATAAATGTTCTAGAACAATCTACCAGAAATAATAAAATTTAAAAATTATTAGGTAAATATACATTATTCTTGCGATAATAAACCGAAATCACATTCAGTTTTTACTCCATATCGGGACTTACAATGCTTTAATGCACAATCGGGCATATTTTATTAAAAATATTTTTTAACCTTAGGAAACGAAGGCGTCTTGAGCTTTTGACGATGTCACTAAGACTAAATGACACTAATCCGAAATATATCCTATAGGACATAAGTAAGAGGTGATAATTTTGTTGCTGATGTCCGGTCTATTACTACTACTACTACTTAGATTTCTTTGCTCATAAGCGAGCTCTTTGGAACTGTCAGCCACCTCCCTAGACAGTGGCAGAGATCAGGGATGCCGATATTTAAAAAATGGGACAGGTTATCGCAAGAAACGCCGGATAACTTGATCCTCAGCATGCCCAGGAGGATCTCCGCAAGTGTACAATCCAGAGAGGAGTTATATTGTATTAAATTAAAACCTGTCGGGGGGTTGTTCCCCCAGGGGCGGGGGTTCGTCTCGCCCTCCCTCAGTATGTTGAGAGGGACTTCACTGCCACTCAGCGGTCAGCTAGACCCTTCTCACCTTCATCAGCTAAGTGGCCGCGGCTTGGGGTACTACCGTTCTCCCTTTGATACAGGCAGCCCCAGCTAGGTAGCTGCCGCCCTAACTCCCACCACGGTCGCCTCCACTAATTCTGTGAGCCGTCAACAGCTCACTTGTCAAACTGTTCTATTGTTGACGGCCTCAGTGAGGGAGTACAACCCGAGCGTCGATTTTTTAACGGTACCGGGTTCACAACACGGTTGGCCTCCGCTTGGCTGTTGGGAAGACTAGGGCTCCCCGGGAGCGTTGAATCGCGCTGTTAGGGATTATTAGATTTGGTTTTGGTCGAGCACTTAGTTAAAAATTCTTTAAATTAAAAATAAAAATGCTTTGGGTTTTCCGCGAAATGTTTTCATATTTGTGGCGGTTGTAATTAAGAAGGCGAATTTAGTGTGCTCTTTGAATACTTGTACATATGCTTCTGTAATTGTAATTGATCATTGTGTTTGTTTTGTTGAAATGAAAATTGAAATTGAATGATGTGCCCTTTGAATGCTTGTGCGTATGATTTTGTGATTGTGTTTGAACATTGTGTTTTGTTGAAAAGAAAATTGAAATTGGATAACCCTATTTGTGCCCAATGGAATAAGAGTCATTCCTCTTTGGGTTTTCACATTTTGTTGGCACTGTCTAAGATATTTATTTGGAAAGAGCAATAGGGCTGTTTCTTACATATATCGTTTTGTTTAATTTGTCAGTTTGATCTATGCGCATCGGTAATTTAATTTGTTTGAATTATTTCAGTAGTTGAACATTGATGCTTTTGAAATTGGTTGAAATATGAGCATAGGACTACTTGTCTAAAAGGCTAGCTAGTTTGGAGATTATCAGATTGAAATCAGCTGCCGCCCTATTGAGTAAATGATTATATGGTGGATGGCTTGGTTATGCCTGCTTGTTTGAAAATTCATACTAGGGACTATCTGTGCGTTTCGTTTGGCTCTCCACAGACGACGTTCATGTGGAATTTGTAGGTGCTCTCTGCACTGAAGCTAAGGAGGCCACGCTGGGCCGCTTCGTGTCGCGTCGCTGTTTGCATACCTGATCCGGTCGGATTGCGGAACAAATCATAGGGGCACAGATAGGTGTTTGAAAGAAGTCGTCGGTCTTTTGTCCAGTACAGAATTTGTTAAGGTGCTGCGATGCCCAGGAGGGGCATCCAGTGGAGGTTGACCCTCCGGCTTGCCCACATTGGGGCTGTCTTTTTGAGCCGGTGGCTAAGGTTGCAAGATCTGATGGGGTGCCTAAGGTGGCCTAGTTTTGGTTGTAGATTAGGTCTTGCAACGTGGCGTTTGTTTAGGCCCAAAAAAGGTAAATTGTATGACATCCAATCACGTTCGACTTCGTGAATCGCCCAATGGCACCAGGTGTCACGCGTATCGCGGGGAGAGGGCAGCGGTAGGCAGCTTCCCAGCGTGTGATGCTCGTAGGCAAGAGATAGTAGCTCGACGGGGGCTGGGGAGTTAATTGGTGTCTTTCGTTGCCCGCCGCTGAGGTTTCGATGCGATACCGTTTTTTTTTTGATTTAGGCCTACAATTTTGGAAATTGTGCGCGTGACTTCGCTACGTAATTGTGTTTCGTGAAAACCGCCTCGTTTTAGGTTGTCTAGGGTTTAAGTTCTTGACAAGAGGCTTGTATTGTGTTTAACTGATTAAAGTAACTTCTTTGAAAGTAATTGTGCCGTCGCGTTAAGTGCCCTTATCGCGGCGTAGTATTGGATATCGAACGAAGGAATTTAGTTGTGTTGTAACGCTGAACCTTGTGACTTACCAAGAGATCGCGTTAGTCCACTATTCGTCATTGATGATAAATGAATCCGGAACATTTAATGTTGAACTTTGAATTACTGTCCGTTACTGTGTCGGGTGTCACGTGTTCGATTCTACGATGAATGTGGAATTAGGCGAGTTAAAGTTAGTTAAATGTACAATGAAGTTAATAGACTGAAATAGTGCCATGAAGAAAGAAATGGTCCAGCGGGGAAGCCTACTGGTGTGATGCTGCATTGTGGGGCAGCCTGGAAAGCGGCCGCTGCTGGTCACCTCAGCTGGTCCAGGTCTCAGACACATACACATCACTAAACACTACTTTCCATGCACCTTACACCCACCTACGGCCTGACCGAGCCTTACAGATACAGGTACGTACTATATTTTTCTAGCCTTCTCCCTGTAGTTTAGTATGATAAGACATTCTTCCATATGGTCATTTGGGCCCGACCCGCGTCTGCTCGTCGAGCATGCTGCTATGGGCCCCAGCCAAGGCGACCTTTGCAGGGGCAGCTGCGGGCCGTAACAATTATATTTCATGACATTTAATTTTATTCGTAACGTTATTCATAACTTAAAACGTTTAAATGTTTTTTTTTTTTGGTGTGATGGGAGTCATAGTAAAGAGATTTATATAGATAGATTTAAAGAGCTTCTGAAGTACTTCAAGTACCGATTTTTCACCCGCTTTCAGAAGCTTCGCTGTAATTCCATCCTCGCCTGGGGACCCATAGAATCCCTCAATCTCACTTAAAATTTCAGGTATCCCGGAAACGATGCTGCCACATTCGGTCTTCAGCTTTAACAGTTGACTCTTTCTGGCAGACAGATCTCGTAATTAATTAAATGTAGTGAGCAGTATTAAAGTTGCGTAATTCTCGCCGCATGCATTTGAAATTCGGTCTGTTCAGTTGATTGTACGCTGTCAAATCTGCTGAGGACTTC